CAATACATATTTTTACTTTCCTATCTGTATACAGATATAAGGAAAGTACAGGAATCATGATTTTTTTCGACCTCGAGTTTTCGACGGATTTTTACGTTTTGAGGTCCCCTGAATCCGTTTTGACTATTTTCGCGATGATGTCTGTGTGTGTGTGTCGCATAACTCATGAACCGATACACAGAAACACACCAAATTTCAAACTTAAGCTTTGTTCCAGCGTCCAATGTGCTGATTAGATTTTGATCAGTGTCGGAACATCTGGGGGGGGGGGGTACTTTATAGGTGGTAATTTTTATATTTTATGGAATATATCTGTTATTTACGTTTGGGGAAGAAAATTCTTCAAATAAAAGTTATTTCTTATATTATTATCTAAAATTTTTGTTCTATACAACATTTTCCTAAAATGGTGCGTATTCGAGAAATTTGACAAAATGTAAAAAAATATTTTTTTTATAAAAATTGTTCAAACAAAAGTTGTTTGTAATATAATTCTCTTTAATTTTTATCCTATACATAATTTCTCTAAAATGGACCGTATTCGAGATATTTGAGAAAATGTGTAAATTTGAAGAAAACTCAAAAACGGATAAAGAAAAAAACAAATTTTAAACTTAAGTTTTATTTCGGCCTGACGTGAAATGATTAGATTTTGGACAAAGTCGGAACATCTGTGGGGGTACTTTATGGGGGGGCCGTTTTTATATTTTATGGAATATATCTGTTATTTACGTTTGGGGAAGAAAATTCTTCAAATAAAAGTTATTTCTTATATTATTATCTAAAATTTTTGTTGTATACAACATTTTCCTAAAATGGTCCGTATTAGAGAAATTTGACAAAATGTAAAAAAATATTTTTTTTATAAAAATTGTTCAAACAAAAATTGTTTGTAATATAATTCTCTTTAATTTTTATCCTATACATAATTTCTCTAAAATGGACCGTATTCGAGATATTTGAGAAAATGTGTAAATTTGAAGAAAACTCAAAAACGGATAAAGAAAAAAACAAATTTTAAACTTAAGTTTTATTTCAGCCTGACGTGAAATGATTAGATTTTGGACAAAGTCGGAACATCTGTGGGAGTACTTTATGGGGGGCCGTTTTTATATTTTATGGAATATATCTGTTATTTATGTTTGGAGAAAAAAATTGTTCAAATAAAAGTTATTTCTAATATTATTATCTATTTTTGCTTTATGTCAAAATTTCCTGAAATGGTCCGTATTCGAGAAATTTGCTAAATGTGCAAAATTTCGATTTTTATGAAAATTGTCGAAATAAAAGTTGTTTGCGATATCGATCTCTATAATTTTTCTAAAATGGACCGTAATGGAAAAATTGTAGGAGAAGTGCTAAATTTAAATTTTTCAGTATATTCATTTTTAATGAATATCTATAGAAAAATGTTTCGAGGTAGATGTATGTGGAAAATGTATATATTTATTTTATCCTCCAAACATTTATGGAGGTGCTGCAATAGGTTATACAAAATAACCGGGAAAAGCCTGTAATAACTAGATAGGAAAGTCATGTGTTGGACACATCAGATTTTTTGTGAATGTAGTCCAAAAGTTTTTAACCAAATAATGCAAGAAGGTAAAGTTAACTTTGATTGGGAAAAATACACAGTGTATAAGGACCTTGACATACCAAGACGCTATCAGTGTCAAGGATATTACCATAATAAACAAAATTGTACAAAAAAAATTGTCTGTTCTCTTTGTGCTGAAGAACATCTAAGAGGAAACTGTCCTAAAACTAAAGTGTGTCATGCTAATTGTAAGAATTCAAATATTAATTTTAAATCCAACTATCCAACTGATCACTATGCCACTGATTCAGAGTGTAATACTCTGAAATATTTCAAACAGGTTCTTAAAAATAAAACAACCTATTGTGAAAATTAATTTCTTATCTTTGCTTTCTTTTTTGTTTTAATTTAATCTCAACATTGTAATATTTTTTACTAACTTACCACAATTTAAATAATCTTTCTCTCTTTTATGGATATAGCAGAACTAAATATGAGATTTAATTAAATAAAAATTCTTGTTATGACTTAGACAATTTTTTAAATATTATCAGTTGCAATAATCATTTAACAACCTTAATAAAAATTTTGCATTTGAATATTAGAAGTATAAAAAAAATTGACAACTTTTTAGTATTTTTAGAAACTTTTGGTTTAAAGGACTTTGATATAATAATATTAGGAAAAACACGTAATGTTATTGAACTTGATAATTTAATTATACCTAGTTTTATCAATATATTTAATAATCACTCTGTGATGGTGAAGTTATATATATTAAAAATAACATTCAGTTTGAAATAGAATATACAAAGTTGCCTCTATCAAATGTAAGGATAAGCTCAATAACATTTAGTCATAATGGTGTGCCCTATACAGTAATGCCTTGTTATAAATCTCCATCCATGTCAGATGATACATTTCTTACAGATTTTGAAAATTTCTTAAATAATATACCAAGAAGGCTAGGAATGGATATATTTATTGGTGACATTAATATCCTTGATCCCTCAAACCAAATAACAAATAAATATTTAGCAAATCCTCTAGTACAGTGCTGCATTTTTACCTTTGGGGAGCTAAAAAAAAGTATTCGCCTCTCCAAAGTTTATCAATGTTAAGCGTCCAGTACTGGCTCAAAAGAGATATGGCCACCCTAATTTGAACATACAAGTTTGCAAATTGTCTCAGGTACCTATTGAATGAAATTTGTTACTTATTTAGAATAATTTTATCTCTTATGGAATGAATCATCAGCTACGTTTGAATATCTACATCAGTTATATTTTTTATCTTTCGAGGGTTTGTTTATCCACATTGGACAGATCTGTTGCCATTAATTTATGTAATCTTGCATCTGATGTGGATTATTAAACGTAGCACATGTAGACATTTATATAGTTTTACCTTAAAATTTTTCTTTTGTTATTGGGATGTAGTCTTTTTGCTGCAGCAGGATCTACTTCATTTAATTTTTTATGCAACTCCTCACTTGACAATTCGTGGTCATTATTAGGTAATATACCAGGTGTAGTGACAAATTCACCATCATCAATTAATATTTTCCATAGAAGCGATTCAATGTAATAATTTGTTCCGCCAACTACAATGGGAAGTTTTTGAGAGGCATATAAATTTTCAATAACTTCTAGAGCTCTTTTTTTATATTGTACAACGGTGAACGAGTCATGGGGATCTAATACATCGATCATATGATGAGGTGCCACAGACTGTTCTTCCTTAGTTGCCTTTGCAGTAATAATATCAAGCCCATTGTATATCTATAAATAAATGTAAATTTACAGCAATAATTTTAAATATAAAAACGTTTTACTTACTTGCATTGAATCTGCTCCTATAATTTCTCCATTAAATCTTTTTGCTAATTCTAATGATAACTTTGTTTTTCCAGAACCTGTAGCTCCCAAAATAACAACTAAAGGTAATCTAGAACTCATAGTTTTAACAATTACTATTCTAAATTAATTTAATTGTTCGTGAAAATTATAATATGAACATATCGTAGTTGAAAATAAAAATTCAAAAAATAAGAATCAACGATCAACGACCTGCAAAAATTAGCAAAATTCACATGGAATTAATCAGTGATCTCGGACCTTTTATATGTTTAGAATTGATAATTGATATGGCAACCCTGTGAGACTGTTGGCTTTGACAGAGTCAATGATATAGAACAGAAGTAAAAGTTGGAAATGCTTTTGCCAGTTCTCCCACTTTATACACATAACTTGACAGGTTGTCAGCGGATCTCACCGAAGTGGACACGATACATTGGCGTACAAAATTATTTTATAGATGTTAATAACAATTTCGAGTAAATAGTTTAATAAATTGTGAATAGCTGTTGAAATTTTGTAAAATTATAATTTGAATATTATAATACATGTTTAATAATTATTTATAATCCATAAATACATGCGATTGTCCGGTTCCGCCGATAACAATTTAAAATTACTTATTCTATGAAACGACACTGGCAGGTAAACATTACTGTGAAATTCTCGGAGCCGCCCGACGTGGTTTGACGTTTACCCCCTCTCTACCTACCAAAAGACTTTTTAACTTTTACTTTCTCTATACACATAGTTATATAGATTGCTGAAGGCGGGTCCCTTCGCGAGTGGCCATATTGACCCGAAAGTTCTCATTAATCAGCAGGGTTATTCTACTAAAGAACTATAAAAGAGACTATAAGTTTAGCATACTAAACATGTAGACTCTAAATTATAGTCCAGCCATATTCTACTAGTCTTAGAAATAGTCCGACTATAAATTTAATAGGGCTACAACTACAGTACTAGAAAATTAGTCTGTGAGGTTTGGCAACGTTGTGTTCTAAGAACATCAAGAAGAATAATTATATGATTTTGCTCATAGCACATAGATAGATGTTTAGTCTAAATGCTTTTCAAAAAAGAAGAATGAATAATTCCCATTCAATACTTCATTAGACCTTGTGTTTACTACCATTGTTTTGCTATTTTATTATTAGATTTTTATGATTAAAAATGGATCAGAAACGACAGAGATGTACCTACAGAAATTCAATTAAACCACTTAGTTGACTACGTGTCTGATCATAAAAAAATTGCGACAGGAAAGTTTGTTGGCATACAAGGGAAAAAAATGCAAGGGGAAATGTGGGTAAAATTATCAGATAACTTGAATGAAATGGGTCCCCAAAAAAGCGTTGAACAGTGGAAAACAATTGTTAAATTTTAAATTATCTGTTGTTTTCTGAAGATTTTTCTATTTAAGTTTGTTCCACTTTACTTTTGCCGTTTTATAATTGTCCGATAAATATTCACAACTCTCACATCAAATTTCAATAAAACCAAAAAATCAGGATATGTGTACACTTCTAGCATACTTTTAAATTTAATAGGCACCTTATTTGGTGCTTATAAGAATAGACTACAGTATAGTCCTCATATGCAGACTATAAGGGGTGCTAGAAGCTTAATAGAATACGAAAAAGCTATGACTCCACTTTGAAGTTAGGAACATATAAAGTTCAAGCCAAAATCCAACTTGTAGCCGGGCTATAAATTTAGTAGAATAACCCTGCTGAATCAGTTTAGCAAAAGTGTGTTTTAAAACTAATTGTCATCCTTTGGATATAGTAAAAAATTAATTACCCACATTTTTACTTCAATGCATCAGCTTATGTTTATTTTAAAAACCTGTATGATTAATCTATAGAACTATCTTATCATTGACTGTCAAATTCACCAGGCCGCAAGGTTGCCATAACAGTGCCTTCGGGCAACAATAGGCAACCATCAGTACCATCACGCAACCACAACTGTGTTTTGGAAGTGATATGTGGGTCATTGACCTGCTGACCTAACCTAAGAAATGAGAATAAAGGCATTTCTTTATAAGCTTACTACAACATACTTGGTAACAGCGTTGTGGTTACTCTGATGACGTCACACATACCGTGGTAACTCGAAGCACTTGTCGTTGTCACTTGTCAAATTTGGTATTTATACTATTTATTTTGTTTATGTTCAGATAATTAGAATTTTTTGTTATAGACGTCTTTTGGTAAATTTGGTTTTCGCTATTTTAGTTATTTAAATATGTCTCCTCCAACAAAAAGAAGAAAGATTTTAATAAGTGTTATTTGTGATGAAATAACAACGATGAATACTTCTGCCAGTAGTCTCATATTTCCAACTTTATATTTCAATATAAATAACAGTATCCAGTGGACGTCTTTAGCTTTGGAAGAAGATAAACATATTCGTATTCCTTTGTTTTATGAAAAGTGGATAGATTTGTATTTGGAACATGATTATTTCCAATGCTTCAGAATTAAAAGACAGAGTCAACCAGTATTAATGGCGTTAATCATGCGTTACATGGATAATCGGATGCGGAAGGGAAAAGCTATAGAATATCCAATTCCAATTGAGAAATCCCTATTAATTTGTTTGTGGTATTTGGGTAAAGGCGATTCCATCCTGTCAACGGCTGACAGATTTAATACTGCACTACAGTCAACACATGATTGCATAACAGAGATAATGTCTGTGCTGGTAATATTAAGTAATCAATTCATTCGGTGGCCAACTAAAAATGAATGTATAAAAATTGAGAAATGCTTTAGGAAAATATCAGGCTTTCCGGGAGTTATTGGGGCTATTGATGGTTGCCATTTTAAGGCCAAAGTTCCAGTAAACCAACAAGATAGCTACCAAGATAGGTATATGCAGCACTCAATTTCGATGCAGGGAATATGTCTTCCAAATATGACATTATCGAATATATCAGTTGGTTACCCAGGTTCCCTTCATGATGCACGTATTTTAAAAGAAAGTAATTTACATCGGTTTATATTGCAGTATGGTGCCCACAGGTACTTTTATGATAAATATCATTTAGTTGGAGACTCTGCTTATCCTTGTTTAAAGTGGCTATTAAACCCATACAAAGATTGTGGAACTAGAACAGCAAAACAAAAAAAATATAATACAGCTCTCAGTAAAGCAAGAGTTAAAATAGAAAATGTCTTTGGATGTTTAAAAATGAGGTGGAGGAAATTGTTGTACATAAACGTCTATAGTGTTCAGAAAGCTATAACCATAATACAAGCTTGTTGTACACTACACAATTTTTGTATTGGAGAAAACGATAACTGGGATTTTGAAATTGAAGGAGTGGAACCAGAAGATCCAATTACAACAGATGAAAATGATGATGAAGGATTGCTTACAAGAGAAGTGATTTGTGCTGCTATCAGTAACGAAAAATAATTTTAAATAATATAGCAATTAACTCTTTTCGTTTAATAAAGACTCATTTTTAATAAGAATTTTATTTCTTTTTCCATCCATACAAATATTGCAATAATAAAATTTTTTTTGGCTTGAAAAAATGTATTAATAAACAAAAAATAAAATAATCTTAAAGTAATAGAAATAAAACATTTTCTCACAAGAATAAAATGTTACATTAATAAACAAATAGTTTTAAAAAACTTAAATGCAGGATTTTATCTCCAAAAAATAAAATAATTCCTAAAGTAATAACAATAACACAGTAATTATAATAACAAAACTTTCTGGGGTGAACAAAATATATATTAATAAACAGAAACAGTTTTAAAAACTTAAATGCTAAGCAGGCTTTTATCTCAATAAAAATCTTAAATTAATAACACAGTTAATTTTAGTAACAAAAATTTTTCTGGTATGAACAAATAATTATATTAACAAACAGAAATAGTTTTAAAAACTTTAATGCTAAGCAAGTTTTTATAAAAAAAAAAAAAAACTTAAAGTATTAACACAGTCACTTAATTACAGCAACAAAACTTTTTCAGGGAGAAAAAATTGTTTATTAATAAACAAATAGTTTTAAAAACCTAAATGCTAAGCAGACTTTTATCCCAATAAAATACTATTCTTAAAATAATAAAACAGTTAATAATTAATTAATGGTATACCTACAAAAATAAAAAAATTCTTAAATGAATAAAAAATAAAAGTATTCTAAAACGAACAAAAAATAATTCTGTGTATATTATGATGAAGATGAACTACTGCGCCTTCTTTTCTTACTTGTTTTTGATGTCTGCTGTAAAGATTGCTGTAGAATGTTTATAAGTTGGTCTCGTTGTGTATTTTGATGGGCTATCAATTTATTTTGTTCATTTAAAAAAGTAAACATTTTATCAAAACTCTTATTTTGGTTTTCAATAACTTGATTGTTGCAATTAACTATAGTACTTAGTACATCAGCTTTTGTAACACATGTCTTTCTTTTGGACACTTTTTGATATGTCTTGTCATTTTCAGATTGTTTATCATCTTGTAGGTTATATTGGGTATTGCTGTATGTTTTAGATGAATCTTTACTTGTGGAAGGTTGATTTACATCAGGTTCAAGGTCTTTTGGCATTTCAAGGGTATCTACCCTATTTGCCAAAGTTATTTTATCTTTTGACCCTATAATGCTATGCATTTCTTCATAAAATGGAGGAGGTACTTTTTTACCTTCACCAGTTTGGTGTAAATGCCTTACATGGTTAGTATAACTTTTTACTAAGTTCAAATATTTTTGTTGACACTTCACAGCTGTTACCGCAAAACCATTTTCGGTCATTACCATTGCCACATTTTTCCAAAGCTTGTTCTTCGGATTTTTTTTATCATTAAATAATTGTTTATACTTATTAGAGCCACGTATTTCCAAAAGCTTTGTGGTTGCCAATATATCTTCTTCCGATGGTTTACCTTTATTGCTCCAAATTTCACAATTGGTTGCACTACTGGGTTCTGACAACTCCTCTACAGAAACTTCTGTAGTACCATTCTCCGATTCCAGTGTTTGGGCAATTCTTACCACAGATAAATTTTCTAATGATTGAGGAAAAACACCAAAAGATGCTAACCTACCCTCTCTTACTGCTCTTTCAAAATAAAACATCGTGAATTCATCATCTGAAAATTTAACATTTTAATAAGTGTTGACAAAAAACTAATTAAAATTTACCATTTGCAAGTGCATCAGCAACAACATCGGTCTCTTGAAGCGTTATTTCAGTGCCCTGTATGTTAAATGTAATTTCTTTCATATTAAACAGTGTTTTATTTGATAAATACAAAAATGCCCAACTCAAATATACAAAATGAACCATACCATATAACCAGAGACAATAACATAACCCCACAGATTACATCATAACCAGTAACCACAGAAAAATTTATCTTATTTTTATCTCTTTACAATTCTTTGCGCATGCCCGATATGTTCAAATGTGGACCTTACTGGCCTTACCACACACCTTACCACTAAAAACATCATGGTTAGTAGTAGTTACGTCTTTGGTAACATATGACGTCATGGAAGTAACCAAACCGTACAAAGAATTGCTTTGGTTACATAAGTATGTTCTGGTAAGCTTATAAAGAAATGCCTTAAATAAGATAAAGATTGTGGATAAGACATCCTTTTTAATTTTTCTCTGAGAATAATAGGATTTGCTGCGAGAAAATCACAGAATAGCTGTGCAGAACAGCTTAAAGTACCTGTACCTGGAAAGTCTGGAATTCTGAAAGTTTTTTTTACTGTATTTACAGTTTTGTGGTTTGTTTTTGTTTTGTATTTATATTTTATATTTATTAAATTGTTAGCCCAATGGATGTTAAACAAGAGCCCTTCGATATTCTTGAGGGATTTATTAATAAAATCGAACCAGCTGTTTTTGATCAAACAGAGGAAAAGTATTGTTATTCTGAAGATAGGGTTTCCAAAAACATTCAAATATTTCCTAAAATTATTAAACAAGAACTTGTGAATATTGGTCATAAAGAGACATATATCATCAGTGATATCAAGGAAGAAGTTGAATATATACAACAAAAAACTGAGATTGAATTGAGTGAACTATTGACTTCGCATTGTGATTTACCAACTTTAAAAATTGAAAGCACATCTGATTTGGGACATCAGTGTATTAGCAGATCCTTAGAAAATAGCGCTAAAAGTATTTCAAAGAAAAAGAGGAGGTACATGTGCCCTATCTGCCAGAATAGTAAGTATACAATATGTTAACCCATGGATCTTTCGAAATAAAGATGATATGCTTAATTATATTTGCAAGTGAGAAAAATGAGGAACGTCAAGTCAGTACTCTACCTTCTACATTAACTAGCCAACTAACCCTTATTATTTAATAGACATAGGGGTTATGATTGACAACCTATGTTATTTTTAACAGGTCTGTTAGTTTATAAACACACAGATAACCTGTTCACAAATAACCTGTCTGTTAAAAATAACATTACTTGTCCATCATAACCCCTATCTATAGTCATGGTATTCTTTAACACTTTCGCTGCCCAAGCTCTAATGCCAACTACACACCCTGGCCTGTCTCTGTATAGGACCATTTAGAAGTTTGGACGTTCATTAACGCTATGGGCCATACACAATCGAAATATAAAATATTTATGCTGGAGAATAGCTATTATGTTTACAGGGTGATTATAAATACGGACAAAAGCTTACTCAAAATGATAATATAGACCTCTATATGATATCTATATGAAGTATATTACCGGGCCACTGGCTAATGATGTATCTTACTTTATTTATTTATTTATGGGCAAGCCCATTTGAGAAATAAATTACAATTTTAAATTATAATTAAAATGTAGTGAAATATATATGGTACTGAAATACAAACGTGGTATAATTCATTACATATAGACTAAAATAGGTAAAGAATTTAAAAGATTTAAAAAGTCAAAAGACAATAAGGTATAATAAAATATTTACAATAAACAATAAAAATTAAAGATCAAAGATTAAAGCTCAGTACTAAGTAATTTATAAATTTATTAAAGGGGCTGTTAAATATCTCAAGATCATTATGAGTCTTGGCTAATCTTAACATTCTTGGAATACAGCTGCCAAAAGTATGGTTTAAAGGATAAAAAGGTAAATAAAATGTTTGTTGCTGTCGAGTTGAGCGGGTTGGAACACAAACATTTATTTTTGTTAGAAGTTCAGTACAGCTGCATCTGCCATTAATAATTTTGAAAAGTAATGCCAGGTCTCTCTGTTTCCTCCTAGTTTCCAAAGAGGGTATGTTTAGAAAATTCTCTGTCAAACCATACTCACAAAGAACACCCAATTTATAGGCTATGTATCTAAGAAATTTATGTTGCACATTTTATATATTTCTGCTGTGCATTATGTAATGTGGAGACCAGACAGAAGAGCAATAATCTGTGAGGTCAGACTAGTGAACAATAAAGGATTTTAATTGCAATTGTGTCAGTAAAATCATGTGCTAGCCTTTTGATAAAACCTAACATTTTCATGGATTTATGGATAGCCTTAGGTATGTGTTGGTTGAAGCTTAAAGTGGGATCTAGAATAACTCCAAGATCTTTAATTTGATTAACAGACTTCAAGATATAAACATTTAAGACATGCCACTTTATGGCATTCAAGTCCATTTGATAGATTATCAAGGTCAGACTGAAGCCAGAGGGCATCATAAATGGTTTTAATAACTAGGAAAACATTTAAATATTCTGCAAACAATAGTGCTTTGCCATACTTAAAACAATGAATGGAAGTCATTTATAAATAATTTGAATAATAAGGGACCAAAGTGTGATCATTGAGGAACACCTGAGGTAACTTTAAATGAGCTAGAATAGTGATGGTTCACTCTAACCATTTGAGTTCTGTTCGTAAGATAGATATATATTCATTTATCGTTCATCATAGTCAAGCACTTCTTGAATGGGTGATCCGAGACTATAAGTTCTCAGGAGCCCATCTAGAGAGTGGAATGAATGAATCGGAAGAAGTAGGGTATCCAATGAGGCTGAAGCTAGCAGACAAACCACGCGGTGGACCCTTAGTTTGTCTTTGGTTTAGGTGGACTTTAGTATAATGAAAGTTTAGAAATAAATAAAAATTAGTGTATTTAATAAAAAAATGGATTAATAAAATTTGAATTATTCGTTAAAACAAGATAATACAGAAAAACGGGGATGAAACAAACACATTTACAATGCGATTATAAATATAGTTTTTATACTAAATATTCATTAGGTTTTTGTTAATTAATTAAACAGAAAATTATTTAATATATTTTTTTGATGTTTTTAAAGTCAGGTGTTTTGTTGTCAAACGACTATGAGAACAAAGAGACCAAAAAAACACATTCGGCACGAGATTACAAATATATTTTTTATATCGATAATTTTGTACACTACTAGCTATAAAATAAATAAAAAATTATCTAAATATAGCTTTAGGTCTTTAAAGTCAAGCTTTTTCGCGTATAAATATTACTCAATAAAACCAACAAAAACAAACATTTAACACAAGATTAGAAATACAATTTTTATACCAAAAATTTAATAAACAAGTATCAATAAAAAAATAATAAATCATCAAATAAATACATTTTTTTAGGTTTTTAAAAATGCGCGGTTTCGCAGAAAAACATTATTCTATCAAAATATCAAAAACCAATATTTAGCACAAAATTTCAAATATAATTTTTAGTATGAATGATTCAATACATTAGTATCATTCAAAAACAATAAATCATTACATAGCAAGACCTCTAAATACCTTTTTAAGGTCTTTAAAAATGCGCGGTTCCGCGGATAAATCTTTCTTTATCAAAATGACAAAAGCCAATATTTAGCACGAAAATCCAGGTATAATTTTTAGTATGAATGATTCAATACATTATTATAATTCAAATAAATAATAAATTATTAAATAGCAAGACCTCCAAATAGCGGTTAAACCTTACTTTATCCAAATGACAAAAACCAATATTTAGCACGAAAATCCAGGCATAATTTTTAGTATGAATGATTCAATACATTATTATGATTCAAAAAAATAATAAATCATTACATAGCAAGACCTCTAAAAACTCATCAAAGTAAAGAAAAATAAAGCATGTCACTAGACAATAATTGAACTAGGCTCAAAAACCTTAACAATAACAAGCACAAAATTAGAGGTTAGTATCTCTGCACTCTTTAAACAGAGTGTCAATGGGCTCTTAAACCTTAACAATCGCTTGATGCAAAGATAATGTCAAATGATTAGCAACCGTAAGCAAACTTTAATGTTTGGTGTTGAAAATATTTAACTGAAAACTTAAAATAGTGTAATTAACTTGTTATCTAAGTTATCTAAGTAGTACGACACTATAAGAACAATACAAACCAAACTTCTTTTCAATTAATAGTTAATTTTTTTATAATAAATCCATTTTTGTAATAAATACGAAATCCCTATGATAGGCATTATTTTCCTAGAATTGGCATAGTTCGGGAAATCGATATCTTCGAAGAAAGAAAAGTTTATTGATAATAAATAATAAAACATAAAAGAATAGTTATAATTTAGAACATGCTTTGCAAACAAATTTTTTGGATATATAGAAATTGTGCTTTTCCAAACAAGCTCTATGGCAGTGGTCGCCAACCTCTCAATGTGTTGAGCTACTTTATTAATTTTGGAATAAACAGCGAGCTACCCACACGGAAGCCACGTAACGCAACGTAAATAAAATAATCCACAGTTAATTTATCATTATATGTATTTATTTTACTATTTAATTGGTAATACATAATACATAAGTACTAATAATAAACTAATAACAAAATAACTAATATTACTAGTACGTACTTGTTCATAGCTACATTCCTACCTACCAAACGAAGGTGTTTGAAAAATAAACACAAACTTTTATCCAGCCACAACGGCATGTCACGTAAGATTTAAAAATAGTTAATAATAACAACAAAAAAGTAACGCACTATCATGAACATAAACATTGAAAAATAAAAAAGCACGTTCAATGAGAAGGCTGACACTCGGACTCATCGATAATTTTTTTTAATGTTTGCAGTATAATTTTATGCAGCCATTCGAATACAATTATCCAAATGTTCATCTGTAAGTCGATTGCGATATTTGTTCTTAATAAACTTCATATTGGAAAAAGAAGATTCACACAAATAGGTTGAACTGAATAATGCTTTCACTTTCAAGGCAACACGGCATAGAACTGAATATTTGTCTTTACTTACAATAGGCCAGATACATTTGGTACTTGAGACTAACGATTTTAAGGCTAAATCATTTTGAAACTCAATTACTTCCATTTCTGTTGCAGCGATGTCTTCGCCAAAGTTCTGCATAACACAAGTTGCAAACTATTGGATATCAAATTCCAAAAAGGGTGAAACAACAAACTGCGCTACTAAAGCCATTTCGTTGAAATCCTTAAAACGATTTTTGAAGTTATTTTTCAGGGTAGAAACTATTTCTACATGATATTTGCTGTCATAGGGTTCTAATGGATTTTGAGATATTTTTTCTGAAAGAATAGGAAAATGCTTGGCATCGCTGTTAATTAGGTTCTGTTCCCAAAACTCCAGCTTTTTGATAAATTCTTTTATATCAGAAATCATTTCCGCTAGTTCTTTGTCTCTCCCCTGAAGCTGCAAATTAAGTTCGTTTAATTTCTCTGTAATGTCCACGAGAAAACCAAAATCTCTAAGCCAGATTGAATTTTCTAGTTCCGGAGTGGGCTCATCGCGTTGTTTGAAAAATTGAACTATGCCAGATAGGACGTCATTAAAACGTTTCAGCACCCGTCCTCTACTTAACCATCGGACTTCAGAGTGAAGGAGTAGGCCCCCGTATTGACAGTCAACTTCATCGGCCAAGGTTTTGAATAATCTTCTTTGTAACGCTTGAGCTCTAATCTTGTTCACAATTTTTACCACCAGTTTCATAACGTTGTTTAGTTTCAGGAAATTTCCACATAATGCTTGCTGATGGATAATGCAGTGGTAACAGAGAAATTGCGGAAAAGTTTCATCTTTACGACATAACGCCACCAGACCCTTATCACAACCCACCATAGCTGGAGCGCCATCGGTTGTCAAGCCTACCATTTTCGATATTGGAATTTTCTCGGAAGAAATAATATTTTTTAAATGAGAAAACAACTCCTGTCCAGTAGTGTGTCCTTTCAGTGGAATAAACTTCAAAAGATCTTCTTTAATCGTAAAATCACTAAAAACCATCCTGACGAACACGGCCATCTGGGTAGTGTCAACGACATCTGTTGATTCATCCAGAAGTGAAAAATAAACACAGTTATCTAAGTCAGTTCTTAACTGTAAAAAAATATCATTGCTCATTACTTTTACACGTCACATCACTGTATTAGCAGAAAGTTGCATAGATTTTATAGCTGAAACTATCTCGTCTTTATTTCTAAAGTTGGCAAATAACGAATCAGCAGCTTCTAAAAACGCATGTTTTATCACTTTCCCGTCTTTATAAGGTTTCTTTTTTTGTGCAATTATCTAGGACACACGGTACGATGCTTCAGTTGCAGCCTTATTTTTGTCGACTGTTCTTAAAAATATTGATTGTTGTCCAATTAACTGCTTTTTTAACTGTTTCAGTTTCTCCTTTCTGGCGGCAGAATGTAATGGGAATGATTTTTCAAAATTAGAATGTACAGTTTTATGATGTCTCTCAGTATTTCCTTTTTTAGCAACGGAGACCGAAGTATTACATAACGAACACACATTTTTATCTTTAACTTCTGTAAAAAAGTATTGTTCTTCCCATTCCGAATGAAAGTGGTATGTCTTTACCTTCCTACAACTGCTTGCCATAATATTATTTTTTGTTGTTCTCTACTAACCCAACCGCTGGACGTTGGTTACGCGTTCAGTTTTAAACTAAGCGCAATGTCGCCGCGCCGTGCGTATTCATCCCGTTCAAAGCAATCCTGATCGTTCTCGAACACTAACGCGCTGGTCCGGCTGGTCGGTTCTAGCCGATTCTAGCTTGATGGCGTCAGCGGCATATCGCCCACCGCAACGTTGCCGCTATTTATGTTTAATATTATGACAGTTAGATATTTTTGTGGAATTTTCGGAAGCTTCTCTGATTTTTGCAGTTTGTATTTTTTAAATTAAAATCGTTGTGAGAGCTACCAGAATTGCCTCCGCGAGCTACCGGTAGCTCGCGATCGACAGGTTGGCGACCACTGCTCTATGGCATTAGCGACTATAACATTTAATGCAACGACGAAGATTCCATTTATTTTCACTTAGTAAATACATCCTATTTTGAACATTTCAAATTAATTACAAAAGTTTTCAAACTTTGCAATAATATTTTTTAATAACTTATTTTTGGTAATCTATCTGAGGAAAAATTTAAGACATACCTTTTTGAAACACCCTGTATATATTGCTTCAAGTTTGCAGCACTTTTGCAATTTTTTTAAGAAAGTTCCTAATAAATTTAAACTTTTTGGAATTATTTATATGTTTCGGGCCTCAGAAAAAGTTGTAAAATTAAATTTACAATTATTTCAATTTAATAAATATTCCAACAAAGTTAGAAAACTTTTGTGAATTGATTATCTCTAATGACTGGCCTATAACTAGAATAAAGAAATATGGCCGAATGAATGTGAAATACATAGTCATACAATTTCAAACAATATCCTTTTTTTAATTTTCAGATTACTCTTCTTCTGTGTCAAGATCGACTCATATTGATAAACATTTTGTGAAACACTACGTGGTTTGTCAGTTTTGTGGAAAATTATTGAAAAAAAATAATGTTTTTCAACATCTTTCTATCCATCTAGTGAAAAATAGAACGAAGAATCGCAAACCGTTGAAAGAGTTGTCGAAAAAAGGCATTGATAACGATGACGACAAATCGTTCAAGTCTGACACTTCTTTCGAAACTTTCAATGATACATCTAACTTACAGAAACTTACAACGATAATTCACCATAATCAAAACCTCTTCACATGTGACTTTTGTTTCAAAAGTTTTAAATTTAAATCTAGCTTGCGGCAACATTTAATTATTCACGGTAATGAAAAACCATTTAAATGTGACATCTGTTCCAAATGTTTTACTCGAAAATCCAGCTTGCTGCGACATTTAATAATTCACAATAATAACACACCGTTCAAGTGCGACATTTGTTCAATAGGTTTTATCAATACTTTTAACTTACGACAACATTTAATCCTTCACAGTGGTGGAAAGCAATTTAAGTGCAAGATTTGTTCGAAAGATTTCGATTATAAATCTAACTTACGGAGACATTTAATAGTTCACAGTAATGAAAAACCGTTAAAGTGTGATATTTGTTCGAAAGGTTTTAACGCTAAATCCAACTTGCAAACACATTTAATTATTCACAGTGGTGAGAAACCGTTCAATTGTGGCATTTGTTTCAAACGATTTACTCAATCATCTAGCTTACGGCGACACTTACTAATTCACAATAATAGAAAGCGATAGATTGGTCGTCAAAACAAAGTTGTGGGAGTAGATATTTTGTAACTTGTTATTCATGTTATTTTTTTTTATATTCATTTTTTGGAAAATAATAAATATATTTAAATAATAAATAATGATACACCTAGTGTCACCTATCCACCAAGGAACAATAGTTATCTATCTACCCTATAATGATAGGTGACATTCCCTCTCTCGCTCGAGTAGGTCGCTGTTTCATTTTGAATAGTGAAGACGAATTAAAAGCGAATTTTGCTGTGATTAGTATCTCTCAGGACTAGACTCAAGAGAGCTACAGTCACATGGGGATCAGACCAACTTCAATAGACTGGAAGCTGGCCTCCGAGATCACAAGACCACACAGGTAGTTGGGCTATCAAGAAATTTAAGGCATATAAATTCTTGGGGTCGGATGGAATATATCCAATTCTGCTCCAGAAGGGTAAAGATGTGTTAATGCCACATTTATGCAAAATCTTCAAAGCATGTATTGCCTGGAGATATATCCCAGCAATATGGCAAAAGGCGAAAGTAGTCTACCTTGCCAAAGTAGGTAGGGTCACAGACCAAACGCCAAAGTCATATCGCCCTATGAACCTATCCTCCTTCCTACTTAAAACTCTAGAAAGATTGATAGATAGGTATATCAGGGACGATATACTAAAACAAAATCTGCTCCATCCCAACCAATATGCATACTAGCCAGGAAAATCAACTGACCTAGCGCTGGACGATCTAAACAAGCTGCTTTCAAAGTCAATAGATGACAAAGAAATCGCAATAGCCACTTTCTTAGATATCGAAGGAGCTTTCAACAATGCCTAAACCAGATCAATAACCAAGGCTCTAGAAGAGAGAAACATCCCAGTAACAATATGCCAATGGATCACTGCCTGTCTAGAGAACAGGATTATTTTATCCACTCTAGGAAAGGAAACCATACAGGCAAAAGTTACACGGGGCTGCCCACAAGGAGGAATATTATCTCCAATGTTGTGGTCAGTTCTTGTGGACGACTTACTCAAAATATTGTCCAAAGAAGACTACCAGTGCCTAGGATACGCAGACGACTTAGCAGAATTAATTTTAAACAATTAAATTAAAAAAATCCCGGCCAACGATGGGATTCGAACGTAGGACCCTTGGATCTACAGACAGACTTACAACTTAGTAATAATGTTGTTTTGGTCCTTATTTTCCATTCTAAATCAACACAAAATAAAACTACACGACAAAGTAACCCACCTTTTTTAAATCTAAATAACACTACAATAAGTCGTTGAGAAGAAATGAATATGATTTTCTATTTGTCAATAAAAGAATGAAGTCAATCATATTGATATTTAAGGGGACAAATATTATATGTTCATTTTTGACGAAAATGGGATAGGTACGATTCTGTGTTCTTCGATGGGAAATCTTTATGGTTACTAAATTTAGTACGTTCACTTCAAACGATTTACCAGCTGGTAAGGGTACTTTTTTCGTTAAGATTTTCAGTAGTTTGTCTTTTTTAAGATTAGATTAATAAATACTAATATAAACTATACAGCTCATTATAGGTCATCTCTAACTTTCAAATGGATTTTACTTAAAACGACATTTTTGGACCTACATTTTTGTCTTCTAAGCTAACGCATTATGCAACTAACAGTACAAGAGCGTCGTAATATTGGTTGCCTATATGTCAGCAAGAAATCGGAGAACTCTGCGATTTTGCATAGTATATGACCGTTCGTCTTAGTATAATAAAAAGTAAAAAGAAGACTTGATTAACCAATAACCCTATTTTTTGGTTTTGTTTTTATTTTCGAATTTGGTGATATTATTTCATAAATAATTAAATTCCTTAAATAGAAACAATGTCGTCTGATTTTTTAGCAGAAAATAATATATGTGGTCAAGTGATTTTGAATTTAGTTTCCAGAGGAAATGCCATTATTGCGGAATTATTAAGACTGAAGGATTTTATCCCCAAAATTTACAGGTAGGTAAATATTTTTAATATTACTGGTCTTATATAAAAGAAATAGGATAATTAATAAAAGACGATTTTTAATAATTTGTTCTAAAAATAATGTATTTATATGCTGGCACTTGGACGAGGATAATATAAACTAAACACCCTTTATAGCGATACTTTTTTGCTACACGTTTTTTATTAAATAGGGGAAACAGGTGATTCCAAATACTTATCAAACACCCTATCCTTCCTCCATGCCCTATATAATGTACAGAAAATTTATTATTATTTATTCCAAAATATAAAAAAATATAATGTAATAAATATTAGGGTGGTTTAGCTAGTAATTTGTTCCTAAACAAAAGTCTGCATGTAGATCATTTGTAACAATTCAATATTTCTAAATTCTTATCTAGTAAGCATGTGTCAAATTTTTAATAGTTCATGTATTTGACCAGATCTTGGTAGATCAAATTTGAAAAAAAATATTTAAAAGTTTTAACCCCCTTTATTTTGGTAACTAATCTCTTTAAGGGTTCATGTTCCTATATCAAAATTCATCAATTGACGAGAGCCTTCTGTGGTGGATTATTGTATATTCTATTATTCAACAAAGTATTCCAATGATTAGTGTTATTTTTTTAACATTATATGTTCTATATGCTTAACCCATTTCATTTTGTCACTTATTGTAACAAAAACTCGTTGAAAAAAAATACGAAATGACAAAGTGGATGTTAATTGGGGGTACTGGAAATTTAAAAAAAAAATAAATGTAACATCACAGTGTGTTTCTGTTGATGGAATAAAGTTTCAGAGAGTTGAAAAATTTAAATATCTAAGGGTTATGGTTGATACAAATTTACAATTTAATGAACATGCTAATAACATTATCAAAAGCATATCATTTAAAATAAACTATTTGAGGCGCTGTTTTCCACATTTCAGCAAATGGGCTAAAATAATAATTTATAATATTCTAATATTACCTCATTTTAATTATGCCACTATATTGTATTTGATCAACCATAATGAGTTGCAACGATTGCAGAATAGAGGCATGAGGATAATACTAAGCTGTTCAAGATTGGAGCCAATCAATTCCATGTTGAATGTGCTTCAGTTGTTGCCTGTTGAAAAATATTTGCTATTCTATTCCTTGCTATTTATATTTAAGATTAAATCAGGAATCTCCCCAGTATATTTACAAAATATTTTAAGTTATAATCAGGATGTTTATGAACACAATAGATGAAATAAGAAAATTTTTAGAGTTTATAAGGCCACGAAAAAATGTACACAAAATTCAGTGTTTTTAAAGGTGTACAGGCTTTTAATAATTTGCCTGAAGATATTAAATGTTCTTCAAACGCAGCAATATTTAAAAGGAAGCAGCCTGAAAACTTGCTGACTGTTGAAATTACATTCAACATGTCCTATCTGCTAAATACTAGGTAGACACTCCCTGTATAAACCTCCGCTTTTAGCAAACAAAAATAATAAAGTACTGAATAGTCACTCCCTGTATAAACTAATTATCTAAACTTGAAACAACACGCTTGACTTTCAAATGACCGCAAGACACCTGTGTCTTCGCAAACAATTAATATGATCACGTACGCAATCATGTGATCTGGGACGGCCAATGAGAAAAAAGGCGGTAAAACCGTCGCTGGCTGGCGGGATTGTATCGGAGAAAAAACTTCACTTTCGTTTCGTCAGTCGAACAACACACATCAAAAATCTTGTCAACGCCGGCAGCAAGCCGTAATTTAAGTTAAAGCATTTGTGCGATTTGATTTAAAAAGTTGTAACATGTAATCAATTAATATTTTATGTAACCAAGTATTAATATGTAAAATGTGGAATCAGTAAGCCGTGAATATATCAAATTCAAATATAAGGTGATAGTTTCATTTGAATAAAATCAGTGCATCAACCAGAACTTCGATAGTATCTTCCAGAGGCTACAGGGTGGAGCATAAGGCCTTCACCCCAGGTAACATATTTCAAACATAGTCATACAGTCCACCATGATCGAAGTAAATGTCAAGCCTTATAAACCCAGGGTAAGACACTGACCAATTGACGTTTTTTTTTCTTTCTTGTTCTTTTATTATGTTTGGTATAGTTGACATGTAACTGTACTGTGTCTTATATATTTTAAATGTATGTTGATTCTTTACTTATGTATTTTTTATATTTTAATTGTGAAGATGTATTGACATGTAAAAAAATGATTTTTTGACTAAATAAAGGATTTATCAAGGGATTTATATATTGCTGTGTTTGAATATCCACATCTGATGCATTTTTTACTTATGGAGCGTTTGTTTAACCACATTGGATACATCTACTACTACAGTTACGTTTATTTACTCGAGATGTAGCTGTCCAGATTACATTTTTTACATCTCAATTTGAAATAAGATATAGTGGGGATTGATTTTTTGTTTATCCTTTGTTTATGCAGCGTGAATATAAAAATTATTGTTTAATTTTTGTTTAGTTTTAAAATCTATAATTTTTTATCACCTACCATCAGTAAAAGTAGAGTGTACCTACCTAGTTATTTCAATTTACAAAATAGTTAATAATTATAATTGAAGGTCTTTGAAATAACACAATATTATATTATACTTAGATTATGCAAACATAATAACTCAAAAATCAAACGCAAAAAGTATAAAACCTCTAACTTGTCCAATGTGACCACTACATTTAGAGCATTTGTTTATTACATTTACATTTAAATCTAATCCTCTATTACGTGATAAAAAATTTACAATATATCTCAGATGCATCCGATGTGAATATTCAAACGCAGCATAGAGGCTAATTAAGATATTTAATACAATAAAAGAACAAGAAAAAAAAACGTCAATTGGTCAGGAGGTACTCATGTATATGGGATTATATGACTCTTTTGATTGGAACCAATAAAGGATTGGTTCCAATCAAAAGAGTCATATAATCCCATATATAGTCCATACAAACAATAAGTCAACTACAAAGTAATACCGATAATGGAAAAAAAAGTTCGGCTTCCGTTTGAAGATGCTTCAAAAAAATTCACTAAATATTATGCATGAATACATTTAAAAAGGAGTCTCTACCAGGAGTATGTCATTATTATGCCCCTGGACGATAGTAATACACTTATTTTAATACTAAAAATTATTAACTCAACCTCCGTATTGGAATATAGTAGTCCAGTTTATTATTTCTCTCTACGTCGCTGAAATGAACCGACAACCTGTGTAGACAGACTGGATTATCCTGTCGTGCGGCATTGTAGTCAAAAGTATCGACAAAGAAAGAAGAAGCCAGTGTCGTCGCATCGTTGTCAGTTTATTATAATAATAATAATAATAATGTTTATTCAATTCAGTACATAAATTCAATAATAAATATAAAGATAGATACATAAAAGTTAGGATAAATACAAGTAACATATTATTAAAAAGACTTAGTAACTACCTCATTAAAATAATACATACTAAGTAGAGAGTGAATAAACAAAGTTAAGCCACAGAAGTAGTTTTTAGAACTACTTGTATTGTGACCTTAATTTTATTTAATTTAATTGGATGGAATATTTTAAACATTAATTATTACCACATATTTCAATTTCTACGATTCATTATATAAAATAGATGTAATAAATAATTTTACAAAGCGAAGAAAAGATTAATAATCAATCAATTTGAGGATTCAATTATGAACAATATACCTACAAGTAGAAATATTGGTACTGCGTTCCAAGTATATGATACAAAATTAAAAACTGATATAAATATATACCATATAAAATTAAAATTACAAAGTAAATGTAGAAATAACCTAAACATAGACCGACTTATAAAATAAAAATGCGACTTACATATTTAACTCAGATTTCCTCATTGTTTCCAAATTCCTGCTCCTCGTCTTCCTTCTCCTCGTTATCACTAATTATATCATCGTCGTCGTCATCCTCATTGAGATTTATGATAAATCGTTCTCCATTATTTACGTGTATGCCGCTGTTGTTCTTGTATTCCTCTTCTATTTCATACACATGTTTTATAACTGCTTTCCACTGCGATTTTCCGATCGCATCCATTTCTTCTTTGATCAAGTTGACGACCTGAGAATCAAATTTGGGAAATATATTTTTTCTCCGAATATTTTGTTTCAATTGGCTCCAGAGTAACTCTATAGGATTAAAAATACAAAAATATGGTGGTAACCTTAAAACTGTATGACCTCTTTCAGCTGCAATTTCATCAACTATATACTTTTTCAAAATTTTTAGTTTTTGGACTTCCAAAAGTTCATCTTTTTTATATTTTTCATCAAAATACAAATCGTGATTCATTAAAAATTCTTGAATTTTTTCCTTAAGCCTGGAGTGATATAAAGCATTGTCCATAACTATAACACTTTTTGGCTTTAAATTAGGCAACAGTGAATTCGTAAACCATTCTTTAAAAATATCGGAATTCATATTTGATAATTGATTTGGTAATCAATCTGGCAGCTATCAATTTTTTTTCCAATTAATAGTAAGGCATTGTCAACCCAAGCGTCCTTCTGAGCCACAGTTTAATATTATCAGTCAAGTGTCTTTATTTGGAGGGATACCTAAGGCTTGACAATATTTATTATCGTTTGTCCAGCCCCTTTTTTTTGCAGTATCATGCGAATCATACCACGTTTCACCCAGAAAATAAATTGGCCTGCTTTTATTTTTATATTTACGAATTTTCTGTAAATAAGAATTTATCCAGTTTACTATTCGTCTTGTTTCCATCACTGCGCTTCTTTTATCTATCGTTTTGTATTTAAAACCGATTTTTTTTAGCCAATTTTAAAATGTAGACCTTATTATATTTGTATCGAAATAAGTTTTACTTAAGCGTTTATGTATAATATCAAGAGTGGGAATGGTATTTTGTTTATAAAGTTCATACACTGTATTCACAATGGATTCGGCCATGGCTGGATCTAATTTTTTTTGCACATCTTTGTCTTCACGGACTTTTCTGCTGGAAATTCCATTTTTTATAATTTGGTTCATTTTATAAACCGATATACCAGTAAGAAACGCTGGTTCTTGAACGGTAGAAGTGCTTTCGATTTATCCACGTTTTAACAAATTTTTATAAACATTTAAACAAATTTGTTGGGACTGTTCATTTAAAAAGAGTTTATTTTTTATTTGCACAGGCACTGCATTAGTTTCTCCATCACTGTTTGATGTACTGGTGCTCGGAATACTATCCCACGGTCTCCACATAGTTAATAACACATACACAAAAATTATTATTCTTTATTAAAATTATTATATAACCTCCAAAACACAAACTAATTATTGATAGAACGAAACTAAACACTAATAAAACAGAAACTAATATTCTATAAAATTTTAAAAAGTACGATGCAGGAGCTGTTAACCGTACAAAACTCAACAGGTCACTAAGATGAACAAAACTCCACTGAAAGTAAAAATAATTATTTTTATTCAAATACGTTTGATTTTCCTTTTCGGCATTGGTTAAAAATTAGGCTTTGGACAAAGACAATATGCCGACAAAGACAATATGCCGATAAAGACAATAGCCGTCAAAGGCGATACACCGCCAAAAACAATATACTTACAGAGGCAGTATACCGACGAAGCTATTCACGCTTCTTGGAGAAAAAATGCAAAATTTTATCTAAAACACTGAAATCGTTGTAGGAAAACATCAGTTATAAATCCTACTTATTTGATTCTAATTATATATGTATTTAAAAAATTACTATTTTAAATCTTCAAATCGAAAGAAACATATACCTATAATACCTACATATAATTAAATTATTAATAAATACAATTTCAAGTAAAAATATATATCTCCGTCTATGGGCGGTCTATCAAAGAGTTAGTTTAGCTGACTTCGGATAAGCAACCCATTCCCTACACCAATTTTTTTTTGAATTATTCAAACAGATGCCGAACTTTTTTTGCGTTTGCGGTATTCCTATATAGTTGACTTATTGTTTGGATGGACTATACCTAATATGAATTATTTTTAATGATTGTCATGTAACTTGATGTCTTTATATTAAGAGTTAATTTGTAATAATCTAACCTTTCATTGTTTTTTTTCTTCCTTTTAGATTAGATTCTAAACACGATATACAGAAGTACAGTGATATTGTTTTGGATTTCAATTATTTTAAAATTTCTGAAAATCATGAACAAAAAATTGAAAAAAACGAGGCGAGTAGTTGATATTAATTGTTAACTTTATTAGTATTAAGGTAGTTCACTCGTAAAACGGCTTTTCTTAAGAATTCAATAAAATTGAAATATAAGGTTAATGAAAGTGTCTTTTATGTAAATAAAAAAAATTAAATTTTTTGACCATCTGTGAAACGAGATATTAACAATCAAAATGTGCATAATTAACACTCTTGAAGCCTCTCATGTACACAAGTAATGCATTTATTTCCAGATATCTCGAAAACTGTCCTTACCATATTTTTTAAAAAACTAATGTAATGTAAATCAAGAAGTTATAAAATTTTCTAAAGAAACGCTGAATTTTTTGACCTTCTTAGTAAAAAGATATAGATTTTTAAAATAAATATATTTTTAAAGCAATCGACGCGTAGTTGCGTAAAATTATTACAACTTGGCAACGTTGTATACGCTGCAATCAACGCGTTGTACCAAACTAACACTCGATCAGCTAAGAGGATGTTATAACCTCGCGACGTTTCCTTGGAAAATTAATTCGTCCACTGTATTTGAGAACTGGAATCAGCGGTTCTGTTTGAACCTTAGATAAAAAAGACCAGAGATATACACCGGTGTTTAACCTGCGCAAATGTTGCCAATTTCTAAAGAAAGGTTAACGGAGTGGGGGAACTGGGCAGGGACTCGAACTCTGTGGCAGGGACCGGACTTTGTTTATTAGCATCATAATGAACTATGTATTAGATTTATTTAAAATATGCGTTTAATGGAATTTTGTATTATGAAATAAATTTAACGTGATTTTTTAATATCAAACAGATGCCACGATATTTTATGTAAAGAGAAGACCTTTAATAGAATATTTCGTTAGCTATTATTTAGTATAGACTTTTCTGTAAGAGACTACAGTAAAATGTTGAAATAGAATATTGTTAATCGAGTAAGAAATAGTACTCATTGTCTAAGAGTATTATAAAAAAGCATGCGCGCAGGCGAATACTGCAAATCAAACCTTGTGAGTTGAACATTATATTTTTTCTACGACTATCACATAATATTAAAATTTAGTCAAAATGAGAAAATGCTGTTTTGTATTATAACCTCAGAAAAAGATATATTAAAGCTTGTTTCTTTAGGAATATTAATTAATATAGAGGATGCGTCACATAAAACTCTAGAAATGTATATGTCTGAAACCAGATAACATTTTAAAATTTAAACCTATTAAAAGTCATTTGGTCGCTAGGAGTGGGTGATTATCGAAATAAATTATTGATCATTAATATTAATCGATTTTTTTCGATCAATCGATTATTTTCGATCAATCGATTATTTTCAAACAATCTATTTTTGTTCGTATATCCTTTAAAATTGACTACTTGATTCTCTTTAAAAAATAAAAAAAATAGATTAATTAAAAAGCCAATTAACCGATAAATCAGTGTTTACAAAAAATAATAAACGAATTATCGTTTATTTTAAATAATCGATTATTTTTAATTTCTATTTTTTTTTTTTCGTATTTCCATTGAAACATTATTCGATAATCTTTGAAAAATCTAAAATAATCGATTAATCAAAAATAATCGATTAATTAAAAAGTCGAATAATCGATAAATCGATTTAAAAAAAAAAGAATTATTTCCTTTAAAATCAATTATTCGATCATTTTTGAAACATCGAAAATAATCGATTAACGGAAAATAACCAATTAATTAAGATTCTACGATAAATCGATTTTCCAAAAAAAAAAAAACTGAATAATTATTGATTATTTACAAATAATCCTTTCCTTTTTTTATATTCCTTTTAAAACTGATTATTTAATTTTCTTTGAAAAATCGAAAATAATTGATTAATAAAAAGCTGATTTACCGATAAATCAATAATTCTATAAAATAACCGAAATATCAATTATATAATATAACCGATTATATTCGATCAATCGATTATTTTTATATAATCTATTTTTTGTATTTTAAAACAAATTATTCGAATACCTTTGAAAAATCGAAAATAATCGAATTATCTAAAATAATCGATTAATTTAAAAAGTCTATTAAACAATAAATCGATTTTTCTAAAAAATCGATTATTTTCAATAAACCGAATATTTTGAATAAATCTACTCTCTTTTTGTAATTCCTTTATAATCGATTATTCCATTACCTAAAAAAAAATTATTAAAAATGTTCGATTAATCAAAAATAATCTATTAAAGATAATCGATTAATTATAACGGATAAATCGATTTTCATGAAAACGATAAATCGATTATTTTTGTAACCCCTATCGGTCGCATGCTTTTATCAGAGCATTTAGCTCCAAAATTTGGAGATTCGGATTTATTGATCCTGTTATCTTTGAAACCGCATTCGATTGTATAATAAATATTGCTAGAATTTAGATTTTTTTAGTAAACGAAGATATTTTTCGAGTTGTTTAGGGGTTTATAATGTAACATTTTACTAATAATATGACTAATTTCCGTAACTTTAGTATCTTTTGCTTATACTAGATCATATTGCGCGTTTTACTTTGTTTTAAGATTCAAATGTCACTTTTGATTTAACTGCAAATAAAATAAACCTTGAAATTTTAAGTAGGTGAACCTGTATGTCATCTAATATTCTTGTAAAAATATCTAATAAAGGGCTAAAAACCACTTTTAGTAAATATTCTTATAAAACTACTTTTTAAAAACAAAATTTCGTTAGTAACAGTGCCTATTTACTTCTTATTGAGATTAAATATTTATTGAAACCCCTTAATGCGGATCTGAAGTATTCAGCTCAAAGAATCATGGCGACTTTATGTCAAAACGTCAACAAATATTTACCGCTGAAAACGAATATATTTCTTATTTTTCATAACATTAACACATATTATTTGTATATACAATTTTTCACCATACATCGTGGCATTTTCAACTTGAAATTGAATAACTAAAACACTTTAAATTGCTAATAACACCAACAAATAATTCAAAAACGGCGGTCCATAAATGATTTACTCACGCGGAGACAAGCAAAGAATAGAAATTTCGGAGCAATTCGGGTGGCGTCGTGAACACAATAATTTTTAATTGGTGGGTTACTTAGGTTTGGAATAGACAACATGCGCAATGTGCAATGTTACATCTCCGGTCTCTTTTATCTAAGGTTTGAATCAAAACAAACCCTTAAAATTAATATGAGGAAGTCACAAATTTCTATAGCAAACCATTCATGTATTTATGAGGTTGCCGGATGGATTTTGTTAAAATCCATATATATAAGCTTACATGTGTTTTGTAGTCTCTTACAAAAATAAAATTGATTAGCATTGAGAATCTCGAACTATTGGTATTCACCATTAAGCGATATTTTTATGTACGACTGTCGCGAGTGAACTACCTATATTTATTTTTTCTACATACAGAGGGTGTCCTGAAATTGCGTGTACAATAGAATAATTATTCCTGTTTTTAATTTATTATAAAACACCTAGTATTCGTATTATAACAGTTTGATCTTTTAAAATAAAGAAACAACGGATATTTTGATTTACCTTTGTTGGCCTCTACCGGCCAAACGAAGCAAGTCGGCATATAGGTAAGTTTGGTTAAATCAACCTATTTGATATAAATCTGTGGTAGGTCCATGTACATGCAACTTCTGGTATATTAAAGCAACTGACAAGTAACATTTCTAGGCACTTAGGGATCTAGATGAAGAATTCCGAGACAATCACATAGAGATTATTAAACGATTTTACTTGGTATTTGAAAGTATACACACATATATTACAGATCTAAATCAATTTATTGATGAACTAAACGAGGGAATGTATATTCATCAAACTCTTGAAAATGTTTTCACCGATATTGAAGGAAAACAAGTCATGGTAAGATTATTAAAAATAAATAGTGTTACATTTATTTAGTATAATGAGATAAATTAAGATATGTGTGGTTCGTAGTCAACCTGCAATGGTCAGATGAGACTTGAATTTGAAAACAGTACAACAGCCAACAAATGTTTGTGGAGTAACTTCAATAACACTGAAATTCTAAAATAATCATAAATTTTGTTTAATTTCAATTTAAATTATGTTTTAAGATTATAACCATGTTACCAAAATAATAGTGAGAAAATTTCATGAATGTGTAATGGAATGATCCAAAAGTTACAGTTACAGATTTTCGAAGCTTACGGGATAGTAGGAAATGTTTCCATTGGCGAGAAATTTTAATGTTTTACAGGAATACGACAATTACGCATTTTAATTTGTACCCAACAATTATTTCTAAATTTTTCAACATATTTTCGGTGAAATATATATTTTTCGTGATCCATCAATCAAATATTTTTTCCACGCCGTCGCACAGTGCGGAAAAATGTTACTTTTTTGGGCAAAAATTGAAATATACATAGTGCTTCGATCTTGATGTTTGTTTTTCTTAAAGATCGGAAAAATACGGTGGCTGCTATTTTACTTTAGTACAAAAATATTTATTTAAAATCAAAAATAAAAATGAAATACATTTTATTTCCCATTAATACCCATTTTTATAATTTTTTTTTATAAATACCAATTTATTGCCAAATTATCTTATGATTTAAGACTATAATTTAAAACTTTGACTTTTCGGAAATAAAACAAAAGTAATAGGTATAAATTCAGATTTATTTTTAAAAAATCTTGACATATTCCGTGTGGAATTTGCTAAAACAATTGCGATCCTTATTTAGACATAAAAATACTGAACATTTGCCACATAATATCTGGGATTTTCCTTTACAATCTGGATATTTGCACCTGTGTCGTTCTTCACTTACTCTTGGCAAATGATTCAAGTTGTCCGTTCTTATTTCCTGGGCTGGAATCTGCGAAAAAGGATATTTCTTTGTTTTTGAGATCTAATTGAGGTTGTAAGCTGGTACTTGGTCGGGAGTCGGACAATCGGGCGCGGCCGTTCGGGCGCCGCCGTTCGGGCGCAGCCGTTCGGGCGCCGCTGTACGGGCGCGGTGTCAATCGGGCTCGCGGTCGGTCGGGCGCGGCTGTTCGGGCGCCAGCCATTCGGGCGCGAAATTTTTATATTTCATAATAATAAAGAAAAGCCCACTGGTAATATTTTCGAGATTTAGCAATAAATATAATTCTCACCATAATAATAGAATTATTAATATATTTTAAGAGCCTACGTTCGTAATGTTATTTTTTATTTTTATGTGATTTTCTTATATAAATGCTACTTCTTTCCGGACGATGTTATGACGTCGTCTTAGTTTGTACCATGCAAAAATAACTATTTTAGTTTTTTATTATTACTTATCCCTAAATATTTTTATTTATTGCTAATAATTCAGGAAAAGAGTGCAATACAATACATTTATATTATTTCTTAAAGATATTCAATAAGTACACCAAAAGCAGCATATTTTGGGATTTTCCAAATCTTTTCTTAGTTACCTGTAAATTACTACGGGTAATTTTAATTCGTACAATTTAATATAAGTACATAATTTGTTTGCAATTAATCCCTTATTCCTCAGATAATTAACATAATATTTGTATGTAATCCCTGATTTCTCAGATAAATTAACCTTGAAATCGTTTCACTTAAAATTTAATATCTGAGTTGGTGAGGTGGGGATAAACAGTTCGAAAATAATAAATTTTTAACATTACTATAACAGTTGTCTTTTAGCTTTGCTTGCTACATTTTACGCTTTGACATTGTGATTTTTTCTGCTGTTTCCTTTTATAACGACTGTGCTTCCCTCACGTTTATTTTGCCTATCTGCTATTTTTCTTCTTCCTACAATTATTATTTTTATTCTGAGTACTCGCTTTTGATGATGGAAGTGGTTTCTAAAGCAGGAAAGAAAAAATATGTCAGTAATGGATACTGTTACGTTTTTGACAAATTAAGTGTGTGTGCAACTAAAGAATATTGGCGTTGTGAACTTAAGAACAATGGGTGTAAATGTCGTATCCATATATCGAATGATGTAATAATAAAACAAATTAATAATCATTCCCATGACAGTAACGCAGCAAAAGTGGAAGTTGACTGCTTTCGTGGTAAAATAAAAATTCGTGCTAGAGAAACTATGGAACAAACGTGCCAAGTGATTAATGCATATCTTAATGAGGCAGATTTATCACAGGCTGCACAAGCAGCTTTACCAAAAAATGCAGTTTTGAAGAAAATGATACGAAGGACGAGAAACGTTATAAATGCTGCACCTCCAGCACCGTTGCTGATAGAACTCTTGATGATTCCTGATGAATACAAATTCTTTAAACATAACGAAACTGCAGAGAACTTTTTAATATCGGACAGCGGACTAGAACCATGGGACATTTTCTACGGCACCGCAGTTTTTCCAACAAATATATGTTGTTATGGCCGAAAGATTTGGTGTAGAGTCCATCCTGTGGCTTATGCCCTGTTGTCAAATAAGCAGACTGCAACGTATGCGAGAATGATAGCATTACTAAAACAAGTTGAACCAAATTTAAATCCTAGGAAGATCTCATGTTATTTTGAATTTGCCGCTATTAATGCGTTTAGAAATGAATTTCCAAATGTTCAAATTCTAGGATGTTTGTTACATTTAACAAAAAATATGAGAGAACATTTGGGCGAACTTCACCTCATGGGAAGGTATAATAATGAAGCCGATTTTGCATTGCAAGGACGTATGATTACTTCTCTGGCGTTTGTGCCTATAGAAGATTTAGATGAAGCGATCGATGAGTTATCGAATATGTTGCCTCCCGAATTGGAACCTCTACTTCAATGGTTCGAGGACAATTATATAGGACGTCTTAATCGTCGTGGCAATGGAAGAGGACTGGCAATGTTTCCTCCAGAAATTTGGTCAGTTTATAATCGTGTGCTGTCTAATACAGACAGAACAAATAATCATGCCGAAGCAGCACACAGACAATTACAAACTGAATTATCAATGAGCCATCCTACGATTTGGAAGCTGATCACTAGTTTAAAAAAAATTCAGCGAGGTAGGGATGTTTTTTACGAACAATTAGTTGCTGGCAACGAACCGCCAACAAAAACACAGGCCTATATACATGCGGATAGATGAATTAAAAATTTAGTTAAAAATTACCAAAATAAAAATAAAGGGTGTACCAACAAAAACTCCCAGGCCGGATATTTTGGAAACTAATAGAGATATTTTATTTTTGTAAAAGCCAGTTTATAGTGCGCTAAGAGAGCTTCAGTTTTAGATATAAATTAATTTTAAATAGGTCAATATGTAGATGGCGCTGCGTACAATATTTTTTTTTTCGATGGGAGGATCTTTCTTATATAGCGCATCTTGTAAAAAATGCATTTTAAAGCAGATTTTGTTTTATAAACTAATTCTATTAATCCAGCCATTTTTTATATACAGAGTGGGTCACTCAAAACAGTTTCATCCTGTTTTTCGGCATTAATCATTGGATTTTAAGAAAATGCTTAAACAGGTTGATTTTTATTGCAAATTGAACACATTCTTACAATACAGATATCTGTCATGTGTCAACCTCCTCCCTTCCACTTCTTCAACCCCTTAATTTTAAATAAGGAATGTACTATGTACGACACATAATTGAAAAGGTACTTTTGTGGAGAAGTAATAAATGTGGCTGTTTATTGCGATACTTTTAATTTTAGCGCCCTCTATCGGGATAAAAACACCTGTAATGTATTATAAAGTGTGACACTTTTTTTCCGCTAGAGGGCGATAAAATTAAAGTAACGCAATGTACAGGGTGGCTCACGCTCAACGGGACGGAGCTTTATGGGAAAACGACCAAAGAAATAAAAAATTCGTTTGGGAGGAATACGTAGGTTACAGACGGCTACAATTTAAAATTTGTTAGATGTATACAGGATGTCCCACATAAGAAAAAAAAAATAGTTCATTAAAAATTATTCAAACAAGAGTAAACAATTTCTGGGAGACTTTTTTTCCTTAAAAATTCAAATAAATCGAAAACTAATAATAATAGTAATAGGGAACCTTTAGTTAACTGACATTATTTTTGAAGTAGTTTTTAATTCTAAAATAAAAAACAGGGTGTTCCATTAAAAATAATATAACTTTGTATATTTTCTCTTATGTGGGACATCCTGTATACATCTAACAAATTTTAAATTGTAGCCGTCTGTAACCTACGTATTCCTCCCAAACGAATTTTTTATATCTTTGGTCGTTTTCCCATAAAGCTCCGTCCCGTTGAGCGTGAGCCACCCTGTATATAAATATTTCTGAATTCCCCATTAAATTACCTTTTCAATGATGTGCCACACATGGTGCATTACCTATTTAAAATTAAAGTGTTGTTGAAGTGCAAGGGAGAGGATTGACACATGACAGATGTCTGTATTGTAAAAATGTTTTTAATTTGGAATAAAAATCGACCGGTTTTAGCATTTGATTAAAATTTAATGATTAATGCTGAAAAACAGGATGAAACTGTTTTGAGTGACCCACTCTGTATATCAAAAATGGCTAGAATTATCGAATTAGTTCATAAAACAAAATCTGCTTAAATATGCATTTTTTACAAGATGCGCTACATAAGAAAGATCCTTCCATCGAAAAAAAATTATTGAGAGCAGCGCCATCTACATATTTACCTATTTAAAATTCATTTATATCTTAAATTAAAGCTCTCTTAGTGCTCTGTGAACTGACTTTTGCAGAATTAAAATATCTCTATTACTTAACAAAATATCCGGCCTGGGAGTTTTTATTGGTACACCCTGTACTATATTAGAATTTTTACGTGGCATTGTACACAATTTTCTGATGAATCCATAATATATTTGTGTATAAAAAATTATATATATCCGCAATAAAATTTTATTATTTTTTATATAG